ATAAAAAGGTTGGGGACCACTGTAATAAGGATATGTCTTGGTAGAATAACACTGTTCAGATATATCTGGTTCATCCTTTGTGACAAGGCCAGTTACCACAGCTTTTTCTGAACTTATTATTCATTGCTTATTAGTCCCTCTGCTTATTCAGTAATTTAGAGGGCTTTCACAACCCTTTCTGACTGCCCATGTATTTACAACATAAAATTGAAATCCCTCTTATTTCAATATTGTCAATTTTCAATAAAACACCCATGTTGACTGCTTATTCATATTTTTATTGTGACAGTATAACCGAGTCAACATTTACAAATTCTCACTGACCAGATTGTGTATATATATCCACCACTAAAAATACACCAAGTACCTCTTGCTGTAAAAAGTGGAAGAGGGCGTGGCCAGATGTCAAACTTTTACAATATGCAGAGTCAGCAGCAATGAACTGAATAGGTGCTAAACAGGAATGTATTATGAACACTGCTGTACAGTATCTGTTCAAGGAGGTTTTCAGAAATACTGAACAAACACATAACCAAGCATTAACAGTATTTAACTGTTATCAAAACCAGGAAACTGTAACATTAAGTTAGTTCATTGGTACGGCTACCTAATGTTTTGTCATGTCCTGGTCATTGTTAGGGGCAAAATAGCTTCCGGACTCTTTCAGTGCCAAGTTGCTCTTCCTCTGTGGCCACCTGGACATTGATTTTTTGGCGAGAGACCAATGATGACAGCTCCTGCAGCTCTGAAAGTGCACTGAAGAATGGGAGACACCAATGTAATATTTTAAGTTAATCAATGACAGTATGGATGCTTTGCAGCTACTGTATACTTGCCAGCATTCAATTCTTTAAATATAAAGTAGCTGTTTTTTTTTCAGCCTTCAAAATACAAATATCCCTCTGAAGAGACACATGCACATGACAGAGTAGTTATACAAATAAATCTATTGCGGTAGAATAAAAAAAAAAAACAATAAATAAAAAAAATCTGAGAGCAAAAATTGTATCCACATCACTGGCCATATACAGTATGTACCTACCCTGACAACTGCTGGCTGATTTCCTTAGATTTCATTTTCATGTCCCTGAGGCATTCTAGACATGTGCTGTTGTCTTTATAATCCCCCTCTGTGCATTCCAATAGCAACTTCTCACTCTCCTTCAAGCAAGCCTCAGCTTTATCTAAAATGGGCAGATACACATGGATATCATAACATTTAGCTCCAGTAATGTCACAGTGCATATTATAAATGTAAGAGTCAGTATCACTTAGAGATTGTTATTTTATTTAGGATTAGCTATGTTGTTTATAATAACTTTTTAAAATTTTAGAACAACCTAGAAATTCCCTTCTGTCGCCATCAATATAGATGTTCTTGACAGGCAGCTCATGGCGAGTAGTGTCAACAGCTGCAGCAAAAGATTTGTAGTCCTTTGTGAATTGCTCGGCAGTTTCAGCAACAGGAGTCAATGCAGCAATCTGATGGAAAACAATATCATTAGGAAGAGAATCATATGCCTTACACACAAACTAAAGAGTGCATGGATTTTTACATTTTAATATCCTGCTATTAAAAAAAAGAGAAAGAAAGAGAAAAAACTATTAAACCAGCTATTTACCAGCTGTTATTAATGGTTGTGTTCCATTTGCCCATGCCGGCATGCCATTTGTTACATAGCGGCAAAGGTGGGGAAAACTCATTTAAATGGAGTGCAGGGAAGCACATGAAGCATCCATATGAATCTGATCTTCATCAGCTAGTAATGGTAATTTGAGAAAATAAGATATTCTTTCATATTAAGCAACATGATGTCTCTACTTTTGAACACAGAGCGAATAGCCTACATCACTCACTGGGAAGTGTCCCAGAGACCCCAGATATCAGGGCACCATCAAGTGCCCTGGTACCAAGTATCAAGTGTGATTTTTATGGGTTTTAATTCATTCAATCATGATTTTACAAAATCTACAACAAGCAATACATGGTTGAGCTCAGCGTGATTCAAATTTCCTATCTGCAGAGATTCTGACTTAACAAAAGCTGTGGGCTACTGGGACAAAAACACACTGGGCCACTGCTACACAGCAATAAAAGACACCCATCGCTCTGTCCCCTGTGCAGCCCTCAGACTCTATGATCACTGCATGGTCCACTCATCCCAACCTATAGGCAGAAAAATAAGGTTGTGAAGCCGGTGATCAAAACATTGAATAGATGGGCTGAGCAGGCAAAGACAGAGGAAATGAGGATGTGTGTTTGCCCACCAAGACCTTCTGCACATACAATAACAAGCCCTGGTTCACAGTAAAACTCAAGCAGCTTCGTCGTGCCAAAGAGGAGGCTTACAGGAGTGGGGACAGGATCCTGTACAGCCAGGCCAGGAACACAATGACAAGGGAGATCAGAGCAGCAAAGAGGAGCTACTCTGAGAAGCTGAGAAACCAGTTTTCAGCCAGCGAGCCCTCATCTGTGTGGAAAAGCCTGAAAAACATCACTGGCTACAGGAAACCATCCCCCCTTGTGGAAGGCCATCAACTGGCAGACAATCTGAATGTGTTTTAGTGTAGATTTAAGAAACAGAACTCCCCCCCTCACCCACCCCACCTCAGACCCAGCAGCTGCTTCCCCAATGATCACCTCCCTTCTCCCAGTACCCCACCCCTGAAGATCTGTGAAAAGGACGTGTGCCTTTAATAAAAAAAAAAAAAAAAAAATCAGAAAGGCACCAGGCCAAGAGGGTGTGACCCCCTCCTGCCTGAAAGCTTTTGCTGATCAGCTGGCCCCCATCTTCACAATTATCTTCAACAGACCACTAGAGCTGTGCCAAGTCCCCTCTTGCTTCAAACACTCCATCATCCTGGTCTCCAAGAAACTCTCCATCGGCAGACTGAATGACATCTGACATCTGTAGTTATGAAGTCCTTTTAGAGAGTGGTGTTGGCCAATCTGAAGGACATTGTAGACCCCCTGCTGGACCCCCTGGTTCTCTCCACGTACTCCAGCTTCCTCCCACAGTCCAAAGACATGCAGCTTAAGTTGACTGGCAGCTCTAAATTGACCGTAGAAGTGAGTGTTGGTGTGTGTGGTTGTCTGTCTCTATGCATCAGCCCTGTGATAGACTGTCCAGGGTGTACCCCGCCTCTCACCGGATGTCATCTGGGATTGGCTCCAGGCCCCCATGACCCTGTTCAGGATAAGTGGTATAGATAATGGATGATTTGATGTGTGTATATATTTATAAGTAATTGCCAAGTTTTGTACTCTGTGTTTTAGTGCATTTTTGTGCCTTTATTAAAGCCATAAGATGTCACCTAAACGTTCTACGTCTTCCCAGGATTTTGGCAGCGAGCCCAAGCGTCGTAGGAAGATGCTAACCATTGCTGAAAAGGTTGAACTTTTGGACATGTTAAAAGAAGGACAAAGTTATGCGAGTGTCGGCCACCATTGCGGCATCAATGAATCCAGCATTCGCCACATAAAGAAGGACGAAAAGAACGTACGGAAGACGGCAAGTGTTACATTTAATAAAAAAACACCGTAGATTTTCATGCCCTACTTTGTGGATTTTCGCCTATCGCGGGGGTGTCTGGAACCTAACCCCCGCGATAGGTGAGGGATCACTGTACTTTATTTTCCTAATGCAGATTCTTTTTTTCCCATTTTCTTCCCCCCCCCCCTCACAGTCTTATCTTGTTTACTTGGGGAGGCAACAGTGGCGCAGTGGGTAGAGCAGTCACCTCCTTCGAAGGTTCGAATCTCGGTGCCTGCAGTCCACGTGTCGAAGTGTCCTTGGGCAAGACAGTGAACAGCATAAATGTAAACTTAAATGTCAGTAGAAAAGAAAACATTTCCTGACCTGCAAATCCAGCAACTCATGCCTCAGCCTGTTCTTCTCTGCAAGGAGGTATTGGCGCTTCTTCTCCTGGACCTCATTATATAGAGCCTCTTCCTCCTCCATAGCATGCAGGATCCTTGCCTCTGCCTCAGCTTCAAGTTTCATGGTATTGCTCTCCATCTTAAGTCAAATGTCACAGATAGAACAAGATCCTTCACAGTATGAGACTCTTCACAAGAAGTTTGCTTGCATTAGTTCAGAGTGGTTAACAAAAGCTGCTTAGGCTATAGTGATTTTTATTTAAAATGACATTGTGCACTGATCTAAAAAACAAATCCATTGAAAACGGTTTTCAGAAGCACATCCATTTCTTTGTTAGATTAACTCACTTTAGCTGTGAGGTACGCCAGAAGGAATGTTTTCATCTCAGTGTCCCTCTTCTCATCCTCTGGCTTTCTGTCAGGTTCTTCAGCAGTTTCTATCTGTGTTTTATCTTACATAGATTGATAAGAAAACTGTTACCAAACTGTGCAATTTGTAACTAACTCCCAACATTTTAGTTGTTTAAAGCAGTCTACCTTTAATGACTGAAAGATCCCAATCTGGTCGGAAGCAGTGCCCCTCAGAGATCGTGGACTGCAGCAGTGACGGTGTAGTTTCATACATCATTGCTGTAAGAAAGGTCACATGAATATGAAAACATTATCTGTACCTCTCATCTGTTATAACTGGTTGAATAAACATTCACAGTTCACTATACTTACATGTTGCAAGAGCCTGTGGAGCCACTGAACGTCTCGGTGGGGTGCCCACTTTTGGTCTGACACAACTGGGTTTAGGTGAGGAAGGCCTCAACGACACAGCCGTAGATTCATTGGTCAGTGAGTTACTCTGTTAATGGTTACACAGGTATAATTAGATACACGTGTAATACCGATGTAACATGAAAACAGAAGACAACCATAAAAAACTAGTAATACCTTTGAAAGAGATGTCTTCTCAGCAGACTGCATATATCGAGACTTGACAATTGTCCCACTTGCTAAAAATTGATTTAGAAATTTTAATGTTAATAACAAAAGGGAAAAAAAATACAGAAACTGATGAAGTCTGTTAAAGGAAGAATCAAGTGTAATGCTCCTTGTGTTGTTTATTTATTGAAATGCCCATGTAATCTAATTTATGTTAGAAAAGCTAAATGCAGTTGCTTGTTAATACTGTTTATTTTGTTGTACTACACAGCCGTATGTTGGTTTACTGCTTGCTTGGCCCTTGCTGTTACCTTGCATGGGGATATGCACATGCACATTGAGAGCCGCGGTATCAGAGTCAAATTCCTTGTATGTCCGACACACCTGGCCAAAAAAGCTGATTCTGAAGAGTTTAAATCATAAGTATTCCATTGGGGACCATGATAAGAAGTCTCCTGTTGTCAGGCATTTCAGTGCTCAACAAAGAGTTTTGACTTGCGTTTTATGGAGTGAGACATGGCTCAAGTTCCCCAGGGAGGAGGCCAAGAAAAACGTTATTACAAAGAAAGTGTTTCTGGGTTTAGTGATGCAATTTAATGCCCTTTGATTTCAACGAGGAATTCACTTCAATCTGTTTCTGATGATATGTTTTTATGTTTGTGGTTTGAAGGCCTATTCAGCAATCCATTCTTTAGTCAGCTTTTTCTTTATATGGATGTCATGCTGTACTTATTTAATTTAACCGACCTTTCTTTGCCATGAAAACCTCAGTGCGATGAAAAATCTCTTTTATAAGAATGTCCTGCAATTTGCGAGTCCTTTTATTTTTTAAGTCCCAGTACTTTTTTTAAGTGGTAATGCCTCACCATTCCAGTACTATAATTGACACAAGGAATGCTGATTTTATACTGGAATGTCACTAAAACGCCATATTTTTAAAGGACATATAGTTATGCGATATCTCCACGCCATGTCTGAATAGTGTCAGTACTATTAAAACAATCAAATCATTACGTCTGCAACCTAAGGTGCCGTATGTCATGCACGACTGTGTTCAGATACTTACATTTAGCACTTTTCTTCCCATTCCCAGTGGTGGTGGCTTTATTTGCACTGTTCTCACTTTCCGAGTAGAAAACACACAGTGGTTAAAAGTACACACGTAGCTTTCAAATTAATTCATGTAAAAAAAAAAAAGGAGCACATATCACAAACAGAAATGTTGATATTTTTACTTCAGAAAACGAGCTAAACGGGAATGCAACGAATGTTGGCTTAGTTATCTGGTCCAGCAATGTTACAGATAATGTTAATAGTTATTTCTAGACATGTAACTAACGCTACCTAACGTGCTACCTAAAACGGCTCAACCTGGTTGTTTTTACTCCAACTTAAATCAAAGTTCCCATAAAATAAATTAGCCACATATTCGTTTTCAAGAAAGAAACAATAAGGACAGAACTACCTTTTTTCGTCGGCGCAGGCACTTTTAAAATTACCTGCCACTGTTCTCCTTCTCGACGCCATGATGTTTTGAAGGTAACCGCCTGTGCGCTAATTTGTTAAAACTTCTTCTTCTTCTTCGTTAAAACAACTTCTTCTTCTTCTTCGTTAAAACAACTTCTTCTTCTTCTACTACTACTACTACTGCTACTGCTACTGCTACAGTACTTCTGGGTTTTACAGCCATAACCTGCTTTATGTTTTATTACTGCCCCCTAATGGTCCCCTAGATTCGTGTAATTAGTCCGGTCTGTCTTAAAACAAACAAATAAACAAAACAAGTTTTTAAAAATGTCAGAATTTTTTTAAATAATAAAACTTAGCAGACAGCTGTTATTATGATAAGCATCAGAAAGATGGGCTGCTCCACCAACAATAGAACGTGGGCATTCATGACAGTATGGTGTCACCATACCATAGTGATTTGCTGGAAGCTGATATTCAAATAATGATCACATAATACCTTAAAACTAACGTGTGTGATCCAACAGAGCCACTCACCAATTAGGTGTCAATGGTCTGACTGCAAAAATGCAAATTAATGACATTATCAAGTGTTCTGATTGTCTTGTAGACAGTAATTTTCTCTTGTTCGTCATATCATTGTTGTACATTCGGAATTACTTGGGATTTAGTCAAGAATGTGTTTATTGCCCTCTCTTCTTTTGTAGTGATTTTGCTCATACATGGGGTGGACATTAAAATATGAACACCTGTACAGTGTATCTAATTCTAAGTCGTCTCCTGACCAGCAAGTCGGTGGTTCAACTCCCAGTCTCCTCGCGTGCCTAAGTGTCCCTGAGCAAGACACTGAACCCCGAATTGCTCCCGGTGGCTTGACTAGCGCTGTTGTGTGGCAGCCTGTTGTCATCGCTCTGTGAATGTTGTGTGTGAATGGGTGAATGGTGTATCATCTCCTGTAAAGCATTTTGGCCGGTGCAACACACTGTGGAAAAATGTGCTATATATCCATTCCAGTCCAAAAAGAGTAAGGCTGAAGAAAAGGAGTGATGGTGCTGCAGTCGTGAGTGTGCACTCGGACCCGGCCGGGGGGACTCTGGACTCTGACTGACTGGACCCCAGACCAAGACTGACTAACTCTGTGTTTACTACCTTATCTATTCCATTCCATTGCAACAATGATTCTGTTCTCTGTTCCCTAACTACCAGATTACCTATCTAACTACTACCCTGCTCAGAATAATTGTAATATTAAACGATTATTTAAACTGGGATGATTTGTCTGAACTAATTTAGTTTGTGTCAGATTCTAGCAACTACAGCCCCACACATAGAAAGAGTGCCTGCACACTGACAAAGCAGGAACGTGACTCTTCAGATGCCAATATTGTAAATGTTAGCATTTTCAGTCACGTTCTTTCACTGTATCGCTTTTAACGTGTGATAAGTTAACCTTCTGAAAAGCCTCTGCCATTTCATCAGTATGCAGGCACTTTTCGAAGTGTGGGAAATGTTGTTTTTGGCTTTACACACATAGTATCACCTCTTACAAGGTCTGGAATTAAGAGTGCAAACCCATCAACAATTTTTGACAAAACAAATGCAACACCTACTCTGCATTTTTGGGGATGTGAGAACATACAGCAGTTCTTTTAACCACTAGATGGGTGTAAGAGTCTGCATTCAGTGTAAACAGATCTCCCCTGCCAATCTTTTCAAGTAAATACATTTTTTAGTCTGTATATATAGTCTATATATATATATAGACCACTATAAAGACTACAGTATATCTTCCTGTTATGTGTTGACTAAAAATAAAATCACTCATCTTTACATTCATGTATCTATTTTATTTATCATTTATTTGTTTTCAGGGTCATGAGCTGGATGGAGCCAGTACTTGCCAACAGTGCATTGTTGGAAGGCTGTGTAAACACTTAGCAGGTAACCAGACCATACTGAGAATAGCAGCAATGAAATGATCATAATAAACATAAACTGTTAGTGTGTAACTGACAATTTAGCACACCGGAAGTCACTGATGCCACTGGTGATTTAGTTAGACTTTATCTGCAGTGGATATTTGCCTGAGAAAGACCTGCAGGTCAGATTGTCTCATATGAAATTGATCTGTGAATGTAATGTGGAGGTACATTTGTATTGTATCTCACAGGCTTTTTTTATATCCAGCATGTCGGTTTGATTGATGTGCACACAATCAACTCACAACTGCACTGAGAAATAACCCACTCAGACAGTGAGGAGAACATGTGACTTCAAGTCTAATTTTGGTGCTATAAGCCAATGGAGATAACCACTCATACATGTACCTGCATGTGTGTGTCTTCATCCCATGTGTACATCTGCTTAGGAAGTACTCTTGCCTGCACCTTACCAGTTCCTTGTATACATAAGTCTTAGAGAACATAATGGGTGCTGATCCCACCTGGCTGAGGTGGTCTCAGACAACAGAGAGGACAATAGGAAGGGGATGGGTGTGGGACAAAGTGGTAAACACTGGTCAGCAACTTCTAAGTCTCTTCCACAGACATGGATGGATAAAACACTGGTGTTAGAGACAGAAAATATTGGTGCTCTGTCATGGAGTATAATGTAGAAAATCCTGCAGTGAGTCTAACATTGGCTTTGACATTTCCAAAAGAACTTTACTCTCCCTCCATACAATTATAAATCTAGTTTTCAAACCTTTACTTGAATTAGATTTTACAGAATGCTGGATAACATCCAAGAATTGAAAGTAGTTTTTTCTGACATTTCTGTTTTAATGAATTTTCATGATAAAGGTTGAACATTTGGGCTTGGCATTAAAACAAATGTCTGCATTTGTGTGTGTGTGAGACAAGCATGTGGTGTACAACTTTATCAGCCTGTGTAAAGGCCTGATCTCATCACTGGTCTCCTCTCTCTCTCTGTGGATTTGTGCTGTTGCTCCATACTGGCTGTCCATCTCTCACCACTAAGCAATGCGAGGACCAGTAGCTGCTTTGAGGTGGATAACAAGTGTTACTGATTAAGCTAATATGAAGAGTATAGACACTTTTGGATTCAAAAGTAGTAATTTTGATTATGTAGGATAAATGTTTAATGATAAGGTGGTTACTTTTGTCCAGAATAAAGGGAGGCAGCCAGCTCATTGCTGAAGAGCTGAAGTGAAAGAGTGAGAAGTGCATGCTGAAAGACAGCAGCATAAAGAAACATTGAGTCCCTGAATGAAAGTCCTTGTCTCTTTTTTGAGCCCACCTCTCTTACATCTCTCTCTGCTCTGAAACTCTGACGTCAAATGAAGGATGTGTCCATGTCACCGTGACCTCACTGATACTCTGTTTTGCCGCTGGAAGACATTTAGAGAGAAATGTAACATGAAACAGCTTTAATTCATGCTCAGAACAAAGTGAAAGAAAACTTGTTTTTGGTGCTCCTAACACATGACTACATGCACACATGCCAGCCATTCTTCCCTTTGCAGTAAGCTGTTAGTCATCACTACCCAGTCTGCCAGTCTGGTCCACATAGCCATCATGGAATGCATCAAATGTACAGCAAAGCCAACAAGCACAGTTTACAGCATTTACTGTTGGAAATCTGAACATTACCTCACTCTAACTCAGATTATTGTGCTTTTGCTTGTGGGTGTATGTATTCAAGTAATTATTGGATCACTTAGAGTTTATTTCTCAATATATTCATCAACATCCAATTTCCTTCCTATTCATAGACAGTAGTGGTACTGGCCACCTCAGGGCCACCTCAGCTCTGCCAGAGCAGATGGGTGTAAGCACTGTTTGCTCTTGTCTTGGTGGCCCTTACTATAAAGAGCACCACAGTCATTAAATGGCTCCCTGTTGACTTAAGCGGAGGAGTATTAGCACAGTGCTTACTTTTTACCCTAACAGTGTCTCTGAGCAGCTCTGATGGCCATTTTATCCCTTCTCCAAACACGTTGGGTGCATCGGTCATAATGGTAGCAACAAAAGCTTTACAGTATATGGATGGACAAAAGCTATTCTCGCTTATCAGTTCTGAAAAATTTCCTTCTTGCAAATATATTTTTACAGGAATATTCTGACATTTTGGGAAAAAAAAGATATTCATTTTGTGCTCTAAAACTACATATCAAAATTGATACCACTCATCATTATCTGTCTGCCAATATGAAGCTAGAAGCCAGGAGACAGTGAGCTTAGCATAAAGAGAGCTAGCCTGGCTCCATCCAAAAATAGCTATGGCTAGCTGTATAGATATGGCTAGTTAGTTTACCCTGCAGACACTACTTGTTTTATGGATAGAAATAATGATAGTATTATGTTTCTCATTTTACATTTTGCACAAATGGGAATATTCCCCAAATATTGAACTATTCCTGATGTTGTCAGTGGCTGCCATTCTGTTGAGCTTCAGTCCAAATGTCAGAAATACAAAGCATCTTAAAGTGGACTAAAGCCCCTTTTCTACTATTTCTCCTCCCCAATAACCTGAAATTTAGTCATGATGAACAGTTTCATCCTTACAGAAAAGATAAAAGTGGTCTCAAAGAAACACCTCATACTGTCCATTGACCTGAATCCTTGTTTTCCACTTCATCCGTGTGTTCCTCACTTCCTAATTGTTTAATTACTGTGCTTATCCTAACAGGATGTGACCTCAGCTCGGTGTTCAGTCTTCTGCATACAATTTGCCAATTTGCAGCATTCCTGACTGCAGTGCTTGAGGCAGGGTGATTTCCTATAGGTGTCTTGGGGGCAGTGGAGCAATTATCCATGTAAAAAACATAAAAACTTTACTGCGTGTCTTTAATCATGTCTTTACAAGTAAAACATTTATGTTCCTCAATGAAGATATCCATCCATTCATCCATTATCTATACCACTTATCCTGAACAGGGTCATGAGGGGCTGGAGCCAATCCCAGCTGACAATGGGCAAGAGGGTACATCCTGGACAGGTTGCCAGTCTATCACAGGGCTGACACTAAGAGACAAACAACCATACACATCCACACTGACTCCTATGGGCAATTTAGAGTCATCAATCAACTTAAGATCCATGTCTCTGGACTTTGGGAGGAAGAACCCATGCAGGTACAGGGAGAACATGTAAACTCCACACAGAAAGGCCCGGGATTGAAGCCAGAACCTTCTTGCGGTGAGGTGTGTGGTATGTTTGGCCAGTACAGGCTGTAAGTATAAAAGTATAGTGGATTTTCATTCCTAAAAAGACTGTGAGCGTGCATCTATCATTGTGTTAAGGACCCATGCGAATTTTTGCAAATGAGCGATGATCATCATATGAACAAGCATGATGAGTTGTGTGTGTGTGTATGTGTCTGAGAACCATGCACAGTGCTTTAGCAGGGCAATGTAGCGTGCAGTGCAGGAGTGAGTAGAGGCGGCCGAGGCCAGCACAGTCCCAGTACCCTGGTAATCCCTGCGTTTTCAGGAGCCCTGGCGCGTACTTGATGAGCTTGAGCAAGAAAAAGGTTGCACTCTCTCATGTGTTTCTCTCTCTCTTCCTCACTCTCTTTTGCTTTTGGTCTCTCACTCTTTTATTCCCTCTTTTTCTCATGTCTCACCCCTCCCGGTCGCCTGGAGCCACTTTGCGAATGAATGGATTCGAAGTGTTTACTCAGCAACTCTGTCTGTCCCCCTGCTCATCTATGTTTCTCAGGATTTCGCCAAAGATAAGAGGAGGACCTGTAGATTAATAACATCAGAGACTGTGGGTGTACATCTGGCAGAAAACTAGACAATATATTAAGGAAGGCCTTTCACATCCTTGGACTATGTTCAGCTCATTAAGCATGTTCGATCTCAGTTTACAGTCACAAATACAACAGTTGGTTGAGTCTTCTCTTAATGGTTTCAGGGATGCATACATCCAACCACGATCTTTTACAGCAATGCCATTTTGAGCTTGCATCTATTATAGAATTAAAAATGGAACCTCTAATTTGTTCCGGTGTCATTTCCAAGGAAAGGAAGAAACCTGTACTGCCTTTATGAATTACAAATATGTTCACATATAAAAGAAAAGAGAGATAAAGCTCCAGGTTTTTTGGTTTGGTTTAAAAGCATGCCTGAGCTGATTGCTAAGTTGAAATATATGAAGGTGTATGAAGTATATAGGGAACGTGGAGGTGCAGAGGTGTAGCGAGGCTCTGGTGGGATGGTTTGGGAGGGGATTATCCAAAGGCCATAGGCCCCAAGGCAGAGGGCCCACTTCCTGGCCTGAGCCCCTGTTTGTCCTGCCTGACCTGACAGCTCTGGGGGCAGATCCTGCTTGGATACAGCCCCGCTCCCACGCCTGTCTGAAGCTGTTAGCCACTGGCTGTGAGTAGCTAGCAGGGCTTAGTGTTGTCTGAGCTGCAGCTGGCTTGGGAGGGGTTCCAGTCATCTGTGAGGGGGTGTTGGCTATTTTGTGCCAACAGGGTGTTGGTGACGGGGAAACAGGCTAGTTGAATAGTGCTGTTATGACTAATGACCTTGGTTTGACTGTTGCCACCATATTCTTTCTGATCAGCCCTATCAGGAGGACAGTTAACCATGTTGTCTAATCCTGTGAACCTCATGTCTCTGTGACTCTCCTTGGTTCTCTGTACCTGTCCCTCTCTTTCCATCCACGTGAATGGATGTACAAATGGACAACAAATTCATGAAGAAGCTAACATAAAGTTTTACATAAGGTGTTTGGGGAATACACAATATACTGTACATATAGTCACTCAGATGCATGAGGACACTATCAGGCTGTCTTACAGGACTCAGTCCAGACACCATATCATTCGCAAGAGTCCACACCACTTTTCCCATCTTGTTTAAAGTAAAGGCAACTGGCCATCATCTCCCTGTGTAATTAAATCCAGACCCCTATTTGCCTAAATAATCAATTAGAAGCACTATTACACAGAGTGTTGTTTGCATACCCAATTGTGCGCAGATCTGTTTTCACTTCAGAATCCAAAAGATAACACGTCTGCTCTCCGGCCAGGGGACTGTTTGATTATCGCTCTCGAAAAATGAAAATGAAATGAAGGGATATTTACTTTTCTTCCCCAAACACTTTGATAGTTCAATTGCTTGTTTTCAGTGGCTTGTTATTATTTTTCAGCTGGTGAATTGGCTGTTGGGTTTGGAAATGCACAGAGCAGCTCTGAGTGTTGTTTCTGCCCTGGACACAGCTGTCAGTGAAAGACCAGAGAGAACAGCAGCACAACAGACAGAGAGGGGTCATCAGCACATCTCCTTGCTACATTCAATCATTTTCCAGTGTGGCATTTGTCTTTCTGGGTATAAGATAAGTACTTCTTCTGGGTTGTATGCTACACTGAGCTGACAAACAGCCTTTCAGAATAAGCTGTTTTTTATTAACTGATCCTAAAAGCAACTTTGGAGACTGACCTATGGGTCAGAGGAATAGTCTGATTTTCTTGGAGGTTTTGTCCTCCTGCTTCCATCGTCAGTAGGCCAGTGGCGTCATACCCTGCCTTATAAAACTGTCAACGCCTTCCTCTCACCTGGATTGACACACAGACACCCAAACACCGGGGCAGCACAGGGCCGGTATTGGTCAGAGCAGGGAACCAGCTACTGGTGAAATACGCATTTAATTCTTTTTTTTACGGGCATTTATCCCCGGCTAATTATTTAAAGAAAAAGAATATAATTAAAACTGTTCCTTTTATGAATCTAGCAAACTATTCTTACTTTTCTGGCATGTGCAACATGACCGCAGAGACGCAGCAGTCGCCAGTCGAGGCAAGTCTTGTTGTCATGTCTCCAAATGGGAGCTTGGACTCACCGCTTGCTCCGCCACCTCTGCTGCTGCAGGCCCGGTCAAGGGACGATATTTTTATCAAATCGGAGCCCAGAGGAAACAGTCCCAGCACGAAGGATGGAGCCGCTTTGGGCCAGACCGAGGAGCACCTGCCCACCGGGAGCCGCCGGAGGAAGAGGCCCGTTCAGAGGGGGAAGCCTCCCTACAGCTACATCGCTCTCATCGCCATGGCCATCACTAACTCCCCAGAGAGGAAGCTCACCCTGGGCGGCATTTATAAGTTCATCATGGAGCGTTTTCCTTTCTACAGAGAGAACTCAAAGAAGTGGCAAAACTCCATCCGCCACAACCTCACTCTCAATGACTGTTTTGTTAAGATCCCCCGGGAGCCCGGCAGACCAGGTAAAGGCAACTACTGGACTTTAGACCCCGCAGCTGAGGACATGTTTGACAACGGGAGCTTCTTGAGGAGAAGGAAGAGGTTCAAACGCACAGATGTGAGCACCTACCCCGGGTACATGCAGAGCTCCGGCGCCTTTACTCCAATGCCTGTGGGCAGACCCTCGTACCCCAACACGCTGTACGTCGGGACAGGGTCGGGTTATGGGTCTCAGCTGACAGCCGCATCCCCGCATCCGGCCACGTTGCATCATTACCATTCCTCCGTCGGGGTCGGCCAGGGACAGCAGGGACAGCCCCGCATGTTCAGCATCGACAACATCATCGGCCAGCAGACGGTGATGCAGAGTGGCCCGGCGGGAGAGCTCAGCCCTCAGGCGCTGGGGCTGAGTGGAGTTGACCTGGGAACCACGACCTCCAGCTGCGCGGTCATCGGCACTGACCCGTCTGCTTGCTTCCAGACCCAGACTGTCAACCCCTCAGCGAACATGCTGTGCAGAAACAGCGGGAACATCACCTCCAACCTGGCAGCCGGATACCCGTACTCCTCTACGACCTCTCCTCCAAACCTGCCCAGCATGACCCAGCCCGGTTTCTCCCCGGGGAACTCTCAAGTTTACTACCCCGGGAATCGGCTCTCCCTGCCGCCTCTGCGCCCGGGCCCCTGCGCCGAGCACACGGAGCAGCTGCTGGGCCTGTCCAACCCTGTGAGCTCTTACAACAGCCCTTACATGAGACAAGCCAACTTTGCATCAGGATTAGAACGGTATATGTGAGACATTTAGCAAATATTAGAAAAGATATGATAAAACATTCCTGTTTAAAAGCCATTTATATCCGTTTGACACATTGCACGACTGTGTCTCAGTTTAATTTGTATCGTGGCTCATTTCGTTCATGTTTTTATATGATTCAAATGTGTCATTCTCATGTAAAGGTTTCGCTGAGAAAACTTTTTTAAAGAAGTGATACTGTTGCTGAAGGCAGATCTAAAAATAAATTCATTTAACAACTACATTTGTTTCTATTTATGACAGTTTATATATTTGATTTTAAAGTGATGACTGATAATGCAGAATTCGTGATTATACAGTTTTTTCCCTTCTTACTGTGCCATTGATCAGTAACAGTCTTCATTTGTCTATAAACAAAGTTTATCTAATAGGCTAGACAGGCAAATATTATCTTGTTAATCTGACACAAGCTAAACATAAAATTAGCACTGATATAGAAGATGGAATTGAATATATTAATTTTAATTTAGTATATTTCCCATGATCTTAATCACTAATAAGATTACTAAAGGATAAATTAAATACAAGTAAATCCAGGTTAGGAATTGTTCACACCCACTGACTGAACAACCAGTCCAACAGCAAATAAAGCTCAAATACTGCTAAATGTTCACATGCGTCTACAGTATGAGAGGATACAGGCCTTCTTAATCAGAAAGAACAGTCCTAACAGCACACTAAGGGATACTGTATTCATTTTTAAGTCTGGATTCGGTTATACCTTCAGTACCTCTACAGACTTTTTTAATCACAATGTTCAGTTATTTAAAGTTCTTCACGTCTCTTTCATTGTTAAAGATTATTTGAATAAAAAATGCTGTATCGCTACTTGTGGCATGAACTTTTATCTTGTCGGTTTTATGCTCTTAAAACTCTTTTGATTCACATGTACAATATACCCTTTCAGTACCAACTCACCATTTATATAAAATATTACAATTATATATAAAATTATTAACTTCAATTTAACAATAAATTCTTTTTTTTTGTTGAGGTTATGAATGCTTCCAGCTATCAGTAATGTGGTTTTCTATTTGAATGTGTGACTCACCAGACAGGGGTAGGACTGTTACTGCTTTATACATGTATTATATACATCTACACTCACACTACTGATGATGGGAGCTTCTGGCACAACCAGTAGCCTACTGGTGTGAGGACTGTATTATACTTAAACTTCCATATCGTGCACGTGTCCAAGTTCCTGATCTATATATAGATTTTTGTCCTGCAGTCACTTGGTGGGTAAGACTGGACATACACAGTCAAAGTGTGGCCGGAACCCCTTAGTAAGTCAAAACTGGTCTGTTTGTTTGGTTCAAACACAGACCAAACACTTCCACGTGTTCCATGACCTGGAACATAGTATAGATATGGTAAAGCAGTTAGTCAGCAGCAATGAAAGATGCAAGAAACCATTTCCCACCACTAGATGGAAGCAAAAGCAAGATGTTGTCAAAACTGGAAAGACACTAAAGTAGACTTTTGAAATGAACAACCAAGGCTTAAGACTATGAAAGCATTGTGTTACACTGGGAAATATGCAATTATGGCTTCTATCAGCTAAACATCTGTATGCTGCAAAACTTTTGTTGCAAATGCCTTCTTGATTGTCCACAGAAAAAAAAATAGCAACAGATGTATCTGGAGCACCTACAAGTGGAGCACTGTTTGTTTAGCTTGGATGGATGAAAGCACTGGACCTTAATAAGAATATAGAAGTGCTCCTGCATAATTTAATTGATTTGTGGTGTTATAGTGCTCCTGGTACTAGTCAGATGTACTCAGCAAGAAAGCAACAATCAAAGTAAAAAAAATAAAAGCTCTCACATAAAAATATACAATAAAATAAAAGAGAGAATGTTGAGACATCTTTGACTGGAGGTGTACATTTCACATTTCCAGTTGACACTTGTTTTCATTCCAGGACAATTGAGATGATGACATTCACTTACATACTAGTGCGATGAGAAATAGTACCGCCAGGAAATTTGCTTCAGTCTAATTGTTGGTTGCAAAATAGCAATGGCCTCACTTTGTGACAGTCAAATTATGGTACAAATATAATACAATGCAAATCTAATAATTATAATGTATTGTGGGGTACAGCAGCGTGTGATCAGTTGCATTGTGGTATCTCCTTTAGCTGTGGAAACAGGCAGGTTTATTACTGGAAGACAGAAGATTATGTTTGTTTTGTGAATTTGGTAAGATTGAAGAGAAAATTCAGTTCAATTTTATTTGTATAGCACCAAATCACAACAAAAATCATCTCAGGGCATCTTACATAGTCAGGTCTAGCCCTTACTGTTATTATTATAGAGGAAAACCCAACAAATCCCCCTTGAGCAAGCACTTGGTGACAGTGGGGAGGAAAAACTCCCTTGAAGGGAAGAAACTTCCGATAGACCACGGCTCTTGGTGGGCGGCCTTCAACAGGTTGGGGTGAGTGTATGGAGGAGAGAGAAAAGAAAGAAAAGCAACAAGATACAACAAACAATCAAACACTGATCAGGTCGATGTGGCCGGTGACTGCTCATCAGAAGCTGTAGAACTCCAGGGCCAGGGACACCTGTAGAGAGGTACAGGGAGAGAGAGAGAGAACACAGAAGATGCATAAAGAGAGAGGAGAGGACAGAGAAGAAGAGAATCTCAGAGCATCATGGGGCCCCCCAGCAGCCTAGGCCTATAGCAACATAACTAAGGGAAGGCTCAGGGTCACCTGATCCAGCCCTAACTATAAGCTTTATCAAAAAGGAACGTCTTAAGTCTAATCGAACTGAGACTGGGAGTTGGTTCCATAGGAGAGGAGCTTGATAGCTAAAGGCTCTGCCTCCCATTCTGCTTCTGTGGACTCTAGGAACCACAAGTAAACCTGCACTCTGAGAGCGAAGTGCTCTGTTAGGATGATAAGGCTCTACGAGGTCTTTAAGATACGATGGAGCCTTGTCATTAAGGGCTTTGTATGTTAGGAGAAGGATTTTAAATTCTATTCTTAATTTTACAGGGGGCCAGTGGAGAGAAGCTAATATGGGAGAGATATGATCTCTCTTGCTAGTTCCTGTCAGTACTCTGGCTGCAGCATTTTGGATTAACTGGAGAGGACTAATTCTGATCATCATCCTGATTTTTTTTATTTTATTGTCCATTTTTTATGAATTGGGGGATTTTTATTTGCATTGTATTTATTTGTTTGTTTATAAAATGTCTCCAAGAGGCTCTCTAATAAATTGTTTTGGATGGATGATTATGAGAAAGTTGAGCTGTGTTTTAGAAAGGAAACTTTTTATGTTGTGACATGAAGACAAAGTTTGTATGATTTGTAATATAAGGAGGATGTTATGATAAAGTTTAAACATTATTCTTTTTCATGGAAACAACAGTATTTGTATTTCTCGTAAGTCTATGTGGGCTGGGCACCTTGGTGTATTACACAGATAAAATTAAATAAATCTGACTAAAAATCAATAATTGTGCAATTCACATACATTATGCTATGTTTTATTTTAAAGACAGTATTTCAATTATTTGCCCCATGTTTGCACCATGGCAGTCGCTTTAATACTGTGTGAACAGCAGAGGGCGCTCCAACACCACAAACTGTGGTAATGAGAAACCCCCCGCAGCCAGATCACGTCTCATAAGAATCAAAATCCCATTGAGCCAATGGAAACTTGAAGAACCTCAAAATCAAGGATGTCGAATATGTTCTGTAGGTTATTGAATTTGAATTAAAAAATTAACTTAGCCTATGACTTTTCTGCCGTAATAAAATTTAATATGCGAGTTCACATTTAGCTCAATAATTTTAAAACAGTCAATGAAAACAGGTTTTTAATTTTGTAGTATATGCACAAAATATATAGATCTATATTTTTATGGATGATGCAGTCCAAGCTTTATTCAATATTGGCTATTAGATCTGTCAGGATATTCCAATACAGCATAAATCAAAGAACGTAGCCATAAGGGGTGACAGCTTTTCCTATCCAAGAAAGTCGTGTAATATATTATGGAGACAGTGTGTGGGGATAAAGAGACAAAATAAAGGACGGCGGTTTTATTCCACGGCAGTAAAACCTTTGGGAAATCTAAGAATTAAAATGAAAAACATTGAAGTGGCTGCTTGTGAGACCAGGGAAAAGTGACGTGGCGTGTCTACGAGGCGGCTGCACGGTCCCAGTGTGTCCGTTTCAGCGATTAAAGGACTGGTGACAAGAGGACACATGACTCAGTCTGGGCTTCTGGGGGCTATTTAAGGTGTTACACGCTCGACTTGAACTTGATTCCTCAGTGGAACTGTCATTTCCTTAAATAAATAAAAAGCAATTCTAAAAAATTAAGCACTAAAATATGACAAGCCCAAGATGAATGGGGTGCTGATGTGAACGCATTACAGCCTAATATATCGGCGTTTGTGCTGCGTAACGAACTTGCGCCAGCTCTAAACAAGCCCGCACACATCACACACACGCATTATTTTAACATCGCCGGCCTTTGACGAAGACGAACTGCAGCAGGTTGCAGCTGACGACATCTCTGTGGAGCCTTGTGAATTATGCAAAAAATGCAGATGGATAATGTTGTGACTTCCCGACATGGAAAACACAAAACCCGTGAGAAGTGATCAGGGGATTGGGCTACCGTCCAAAACCTTTGAGGAGGAATTCTATACGGCCAAATCAGCCAGTTTATTAGGGACCAGAAGAGGCGCAGAAAAGCTCCGTTTGTGTAGTTGGTGTATTTAGGACTTTAAATAGCCAAGTGTAAACCGTTTAAACTGGGAGCAAAATCGAAATTCATTAAAAGAAACGTGGTAACAGGCCTATTGTTGTTGAACTTGGCAACATCCTAATGCAGGCCCACATAATTAGTCAATATTTAGTTTATGTACGCACATAATGGACACAATAACAACAACAACAACAATAAGAAGAAGACCAAGAAGAATTGTAATAATAATAATAATAGCATTAATAATGATAATAATAGAATGATTTACTTCTGGGATTCACCTTTCCATCTGTGTCATTATTTGTCTGATGACATTGTGAGGGCAGTGTTTTTCCTAAATCTTAATAAGTTGTAACAGGTTATGTCAATGGAAGATTTGATTTCGCTCTAAAAATATCAATGTCAACTTGGATTGTGTTTCACAGAGATCACAGTCACCGTGCACGGTGTGTGCCTAAAAAAATTAATTTAGGAAGTACATAACATAAATACATAACAAAGAAAAAGTCATTTAAATGAATCACGCTTCTTCGTGTTCAGAAATAAATTCGCATTTTAAATGCATAAATGACAAATGTCAAAACGTGGTTCTCATGGAGACATTTTTTAAATCACTTTTAATGCATTTTTGTTCATTTTCCAACCCTTTTAAAGCTAAAATTAAATCAAGTAAATGAAAGCTTGAAATCCTTAAAATAGATTCATACAATAGAACAACTGATAGCATCTTAATGTGGAGCCTTTATGGTTGTGACGTTTTTTTTTCTTCTTCTTATTTTTAACCAAATATGATTTTAAGATTGAAGTGCAGATCCAAATATTACTTTTTTGTACAGCCTAATTTCGTTCCGCTCCTGGTAACAGTGACTCAAAGACCACGTGATCACTGTGGTCCTATAAATACCTTTTAAGTGCTAAGGAGGATAGTTTGACAGTCTGGCTGGATATCTACTCAATCCTGTGCGTAAAAGATATTTTGGAGAGGCACTTGGAACTCCAAAAGTGGCGTTTTAAATGAACGACAGCATAAACTGATCACAGAGGAAACCATCGCATTTAAAGACAACTGACGTGCACATCGATGCAAGATCGATGATCTTTGACTGCTCTTTTATGCCCGAAAAGAAGTTTTCTGCTCGACGAGAGCCTCGCACGGCCCTGCTCGACCAGCACCGGACAGCAGTCGCCAAACCTTCAGGTCAAAGAGTTTCATACTTTCAGCAGATTCTGGCGATGCGTGCGTTCAGTAGTTGGAAATAAAGCTGCTGCACAAGTCTGGTGTGGTTGGAAGGTGGGAGTGGAGAGTGTGTGCGCGCTCTCACTCAGTAGCCTCACCGGACCAGAGGAAGAGGAAACCCGGGAGAGGGGGGTGGGAGAGAAGCGGCGTTTCCAAGGATGACTTTAGGGACGGATATGTCCGACAGCTCTGCGTTGTCCGAAGATGTGGACATCGATGTGGTTGGGGGAGACATATCCGTCGGGAAGGACGGAAAGTACATTCACCACGAGTTCATCTTGGACAATGACTCGGACGACAATTACTCCCAGAACGCGGCCGAGAGGGTTTCCTCTCCCGGGCTCAGCAGCTCCGACTGCCCGCCAGAACAGATGGGGTCCAGTGCAGAGGCAGGGTCCGTGATTGGGGACAAACCAAGAAAAAGTGCACTTGTAAAGCCACCCTACTCCTACATCGCCCTGATCACTATGGCTATCCTGCAGAGCCCCAAGAAACGCCTAACTCTCAGTGAGATCTGCGAGTTCATCAGCAACAGATTCCCCTACTACCGGGAGAAATTCCCTGCGTGGCAAAACTCTATTCGCCACAACCTTTCCTTAAACGACTGTTTCGTGAAAATCCCAAGGGAGCCCGGCAACCCCGGAAAGGGCAACTACTGGACCCTGGACCCGGACTCAGCAGACATGTTCGACAACGGGAGCTTCTTGCGCAGGAGGAAGCGCTTCAAGAGGCACCAAAGTAATGAAATCCTCAGGGACTCCGGTGGTTTTCTTCCCGGGTTTGGATACGGCCCGTATGGATACAACTATGGACTTCAGCTACAGAACTTCCACGCAGCCCACAACCCGTATCACCCACATCACACAGGCGGTTCATTCCCGTTCCCTAATGCCCCCTGCACCTTGCCCTCTTCAGCGTCCATATTCCCTGCACCGCATCCCCTACCCTCCCTTTTAGGGACAGATTTAAGAAAATCCTTTTATCCTCAACTAAGCCCGTCTCTGCCGCCTCTCAAGACGGACTCCAGCACCCCTAGTCGGCCTTCTTTCTCCATTGACAATATCATCGGAGCTGCCAACTCCACCGCCTCTTCATACAGCGCGCAGCCGGGCAGCCAGGCTCAGATCCTGGCCATGTTGACCCCAGCCCTGGCCTCTGCTTCTAGTCATTTGAACCTATCACCGGACAGCATATTACAGCCTGGTCCACAGAGTCAAAGCTTTTCCATCAAAACCCCGAATATGAACACTTGTACTTTCTAAAAAAAAGAGAATGCCCGCTGAAAATCTTTTAATAAAAAGCCAATTGTGGCGTCGTCCTATGTGAAGGTAGGCTGAACATTCTTGCTGAAATAAGAGTGTTTTGGCTCTCCCCGTTTCTTACCAGTGTAGGAGGAGAGAAAGGTTTATTTATGGCTTGTAAATATGTGCATAACATTGAAAAACAAAAGCAAGAGAAACTCGGAGAAAACTCTTTTAAAACGATGCTGGCCCTCAACCTGGCACATGGCCTTCATTTGTCAGTGGGAGAAGAGGGGAAGGTTATTTTAACATAAGTTAAAGGTGTCAGCCATGGCTACGTGGATGATATCCGATTTTGTAAAAAATATAACTGAGAATTTTATTATGACTCTCCCCTCACCCCCTCGCCCCCTCACCCCCTCCCTCAGCTGTAGAGGACTACATGTTGAAATTGTGACGATATCATCTTCATGTTGTCATTGGACAAGTAGGCTGTGTGGTTTTGGTATAAAAAGAGCGCATTACCTCTCTCAAGCTTTTTGTTGTTCACGCAAGTTTAATTTAATTGTTGTTCGTTCCTATCTATTTCACAATTTAATCTGTGAAACATAAACTGTGTCATGTGTTGCCAATAGAGAGAGAGAGAGAGAGAGAGACACCTAAATGTTCATAGGTCATTTTTTGTTGTAATGACAAGTATAATAAATGTTTGTGAATTTGAAAAGGAAATCCGTTAATCTCTTATTTCATAGAAAGTTGATGCGTCGGGGATGCAGCTCCTCAAAAAAGAGTAAAAATAAAACAAACGAGTACGAACTAACTGGAATTGAATAAGGTTCTCTGCTCTTTTGTGATCATTTTTAACAAATGGATTGTGAAAGGTCTCATATTTCATTTTAAACCATTTTTATTTAAAGGGTTGCGCACAAAGAGCACGTTTTCATGCTTTTGTTGAACTACTCTACTTTAGGTGCAATTGTAATATTCTTGTTAGTTTCCATCACAGGACTCCTACATATGACCCTAATCAATTCAGGAGTGGACACATGATGAGATCCGTCTATTATTGCAGTAAATTATGAAGCTTTTTGGGTGTGAGAAACGTACTAAATTCGGTTTAAATATTTCAAACACGACCTGATGTAAATAACAGTGATGAATATCACGCAACAGTGGGCAAGTATTCCTCTTGTGTGGCTCTAGCTCGCTGGCAAAGGACCGTTTTCTTGCAAGTAACAAAGGTCCTAAATGAATGGGGACGTTAGCGCCTCGGCGGCACGTAATTGAAAGTGACCAAGGATATACACAGGGTCTTTTGGGCGTTCGTTGCTAATTTGTAGCAGCATTTTTCATCAGGCTCCTAATCCACCATAATGCGGCTATTTGGCCGTTTGTTGATGTTGTCAGTGTGGACCCCTGGCCCTAGGGAGTGAATGTGCGCACAGCAAGCGGTCCCCTGTGAGACCAGCCACACACATTTAGACCCTGAAAAGCAGTCTTCTCTAAAGGCTCTCGGTTTGTTCCGCTTTCATGTCATCTGTGTTGTCTCGGGACACATATAAAAGAAGCAGTGGGACTCGTCCCGCTACAGAAAACAGGCCTATTGGTCTTTTTCAGAGTTGTTGAAGCACATGTTTCCAGACAGGCGGGGGTGTAAAGCCTCTTTTATTTACCAGATCTGTGTGCAAATGGTTAAATTAGTTTGTGGGTGTTGTGACAGATGATTATCAAGGATGACGGGTGGGAGGGCTGACTCCCTGTTTTCCCTCAGCACAACTCACTGAACGTCTTTGAAACGAAAACCAACACTACTTTCTTTATCCAGACCCAGGCTTTATTTCTTTGTTCTTTCTCACTCCTTGTTAGTGCAAACTGAGCAATTAATAGATATTATTAGCAAAATCATTTTAATTAGCGCCTCTCTCGTATCAGTGACAGTAAGTGATATCCTGCACATATAATTTGCACAGTAAATTAGGTGAAGAAAAACTTTAGCAGACCATTAATGTTTTCCGTGCACACCCGCCCTGATAGGGAGTCATTACGCACCGCATCACTCCATTAACATCCACATGAAGCGTTTGCAGAAGTGGTTAAACACCATGTATGCAGCAACAGGAACGAAAACAAAGCTAATAAAAAATCAAGAGATACTAAGATAGAGATACAAAGCTTAACCCGCACACACATGCACAAAACCAGCTTTTTAAAACGAACGGTTTGAGACTGCACCTAGTTGTAAAACTTCCAGCCCAGCTGTGCGTCAGCAGCTCGTTTCTGCTGAAACTTCTCTCACTCTTCAAACCACAACAAATACTGAAGTGAACATCCGGGACGCCTCTTTCAAAATGCCATTTCATTTTTCACGTCAGTTCTCACGGGTTATCAACACATTTGATATAGTGACACGTTAATACTTCATAGAGACCCTGGTTTTGGTGTGGACTGTCACTTCGAGACCACCCACGGTTTTTGCACCAGAGCGTGGGTCTTTATTTAGGAATCACAACGAAATTCGTCATTTTTCATGATGTTTTCTTAAACAAAATAAGAACTGAGTGACATGTGGAGTGACAGCCAAATGACTCAATAGTCACCAACATTTGTTTTTCAATAGTTCTCTAACAGTTTCCATATGCCCTGTTTGGGCGTAAGCAGCCTTAAACCCACATTTTGTGCCACTCTAATTTATTTATAGACCTACATGGCAACGTAAACGTACCTTTATTTCCTTTCCACTGTAAACATTTTATTATTTTAATAAGATCCCCTGGAAAAGTCCTGAGTAGGCCCATATATAATATATCATAGCCTATTATCATTATATACGTTTTTTGTAACACTCACCCCTGAAACAGCAAGGGATTAAATGAAATCGTTTTGCTCAAATCGTTCACTACCTTGTCGATCCATCTGTCAGCGATGAAGGACACGAGGACAGAGGGTGTGCTGACACCACATATGCGCACATGAAATACACACTCACCGATACATTAATGGTTAAAATGAAGGGCTGCAGCAATAAGATAATGGGAATAAATGTGAATACAGGCCTATTGATGATATTTTTGGTCTGCAGTGAAGGGAGTGGCCCGTTTTATCATACAAAAATAAAATAAAACACAGGGAAAGGGCAGATGCTTTTGCATTTAGTCTATACAAACCCAGTATCCTATGTTTTCTGTTGATCACTTAGAGTGAAAAGAACAGTTTTTTAATGTTCAATACTCGTTTCATCTGAGCATTAGAATAACGCCTTGAGACTTTGTTCAGGGCAAAGGTCCCCAGTTAAAGAAACCAAACAACAAAGTCCTGTTTGATTGGGTGTTGTCCAGGCCTGGTTAGATACACAACTATGAAACTGCTATGAAACTGCTACTGCACCATTCTGGAGTGT